TTGTGGGGTTTTTTTTGTCTTAACATCTCTTGCATCCACTGTGCTGGTTGCAGCATTTCTGGATTCTGTAGTGTCATTGCTGTCACTGACAGTGGCCTGGCATCAACATGTGAATCATGAGTCTCTGCTTCTGGCAAGTCCTGATTTTCCTGCAGTACTTCCATTTTTTTTTAAGATGATGGAGGCTTCTGAAGCTGAATGGGTGTTTTCCTGAAAAACGACACCTCGTTGTTAAGGCAGAGCTTTATTGTGCAACGCCTGATAAATGACACTGAGAGAAATTATACCAGTTGTTAATGGATAGGGATGAGCTCAGGTTACTTACTAATTATGACCTTTATTACCTATAAAAATGCTATTAATGTCTTCTGCACTGCGATAGCTGCCCCACCAGGGGCTTTGGTGCTTTCTGCTCATGTGCTGGGATGGAGCAGCAATCCTCTGCTCTCCTGCCTTATGGACCATAGATACTACCTCAAGGAGAGGAGAGGAGTGAGGTTTGTGTCTGGGAATAGAAGTTATTTGGATTTGGCCTGAGTCAGGGAGAGAAGGAGAAGCAGATACATGGTTGTGTAGAGTTGAAGTGTAAATTTTTAACAGTGTTAAAATTCACTAAGACTCCTGGTAAAGTGGTAAAGGTTGAAAACAGAATTTAAATTAAATACACAGACTGTAACAACTACTGCAGTGATTTATTTGCTAGTTACAGGTTCTGAACAATGTATTTGACCATGGATGTGGCAGGCAGCACTGTTCCGGGCAGTGAGCTCTGGAGACCTGTGCCCTATGTTGGGCTGTGCTGTTGGTCCACTGGTAACCTGGGCAAACCCCTTTGATCTGGCCCATGACAAGTTTCTCATCTGCAGAAAGGTACGATTGTACTAAAGAGAAATGTGAGCTTTTCCCCACTCCAGGATGGGAGTGAGGTGGGAGTGGGGATGCCCTTTCCCATCTGTCTATCTCACTCAGCATGTCGATGGCTGTGTAGCAAAAAGCAAGTACACAGCATTACCCCAGGAGTATCCAGGGAAGCTGCTGTTGTTCCCATCTGTGCTGGCTTGCAACCATTCTTACAAACCCAGTTCTCTGTCTGAAGACATGCTTGTGCCTTGTTTGAAGAGTGCTTCTCAGGGATGGATAAAATGTATGGCTTTGGTTTGTTTTCAGAAGTTAAGATTTTTCTTTTTCCTCCTGCTCTGTTTATTTACTGTTAGATTTTCTTTTCTTTCCCATCAAATAGCCTTTTGTTTTATTTTATTTTTGGGTATTTTTCACTACTTGTCTTCTGGTTGATAATGGGGATTACTGGCTTTTGATAGAACAGATACTATGTGAGTTAAATTTTTCTCCTAAAATTACTTAAAATGTCATCTCACTGGAGAGGGCAAGTCAAGGTCCTCATAAACATTCATGCTATAAAAACAGTTCCTATTTACACACCTTTCATTATTGTCAGCATAAACAAACGATTGATTGTCAGAAAACTGAAATATGAACATCTCTTCATTGTGAACCCAGAAGCAATTTTTATAATGGCAAAGGGCAGTTTCTAATAAAAACGTAATTTGTAGCTTCTGACTGAAAATACTTCTCTTTATGCCAATTCTTATTTAAGTCACAGTAAAATGTGTGAAATATCAGCTTGAAGAGCTGTAATGTCAAAGGCTTTTCATTATTGTTTTTTTTCTTCCAGTAACAGTTTAGGTAAAATTCAAATGCATCAGTTTCACTTTTACTTCATCATCAAATTAGTTTTACATCGCCTCAACTTTAGTTAAATCACTTCAATACCATTTAAAAATCAACCACCAAGTTGTTCTAAATCGTTCCAACAAGATATTCTTGGATGTACAGTAAGTTTGCCAACTTTACTGCATTTGGGCAAAAAGGTGGAACCAGTTTTCTGCAGCTGAGGACAGCAGTGGGGTGGTGAGGTTCCCCTCACACAGTTCAGCTGCAGCCTCTCCTGCCTTAGCGCTGCTGGGATAGTGAGCACAAGGCATTGAAAGGCCTCCAGAGGGACTTCTCCTTCCTTGCTTCCTTATCCCTCACCAAAATAAAGTTTCCTCCTTCTAATCTGCTTTGGGTGCCTGATGTTTTCATAGGATCATAGATTGCTTAGAGTTGGAAGGAACCTTAAAGATCGAGTTCCAACCCCCTGCATGGGCAGGGACACCTCCCACCAGCCCAGGCTGCTCCAAGCCCCATCCAACCTGCCCTTCAACACTGCCAGGGATGGGGCAGCCACAGCTTCCCTGGGCAACCTGGGCCACGCTCCCACCACCCTCACACTAATGAATTTCCTTCTCATGTCTAATCTAAATCTTCCCTTTTCCAGTTTTAATCCATTACCCCTTTCCCTCACACTACATGCTCTAGTAAAAGGTCCCTTCCCAGCCATAGAAACTGTCCCACAGTTAAAAAGCAGCAGCTGGAGATAATTCACCAGCAGTTGGGGAAATCGCTAAATACTTACCTGGAGGACACCTGCTTCACACCTGTGCACACCTCTGAGTATGAACTGCCCAGTGTCCATGAAGTGCCCGTGCTGTGCAACGGGGGGACATGTTCAGCCATTAAAAGCTGCTGTGCTTGATTTGTGAGCTCTTGCAGTGGAGCAGGATCTAGCTGGGATGCCAGCACACTGTTTTAGGGTGCCTGTGGCCTTTGTGAAATGGATTATTGAACTGCTGGTGCAAATGAAGCAAATAAATCCAATTCTGCTGTTGTTCTGAAGGTTCTTCCATCTCTGCCACCTGCCCTTGGCACTCTGCTCCCTTCCCATCATTCTGTGAGTGCTGCCTTGCAGTTACAGAATCATAGAATGGTCAGGGTTGGAAGGGACCTATGAGGATCATCTAATCCAACCCCCTGCTAGAGGGGTAACACATCCAGATGGGTTTGGAATGTCTCCAGAAAAGGAGACTTCACCACCTCTCTGGGCAGCCTGTCCCAGTGTTCTGCTACCCTCACAACAAAGAAGTTTTTTCTTATGTTCAGCTTGATCCTTCTGTGCTCCAGCTTGTGCCCATTGCTCCTTGTCATTGGACATTGCAGAAGAGAGACTGGCCCCACCCTCCTGACACCCACTGTAGATATTTCTAAGCATTGATGAGATCCCCACTTGGTCTTCTGTCTTCCTGGCTGAACAGCCCCAGCTCTTTCAGCCCATAGGGCAGATGCTCCATTTTTTTCTTTACTGGAGCTCTTCTGTCCATTTGCATCTCCTTGGCAGATCTGAACGGAACCTGCGCCCCTTTGGTCATCCTGGGGGTCAAATGCTTGGCTCACGTTTCATTTCTCTTTGTGTTTCTCTCTGGCAAATGTGGCCACGAAAGAGAAACTGAGTGGAGCATTCTCACAAATAAGAAAAATTGATGCAAAAACACAAAGCACCATCTGTGGTGGAATTTGAGGGGTTGAGGGGCAGGACAGCACTGTTCATCTGCTATAAATGACTTGGTTTTCTTCAGCTGGAGAAATGCTTTTATGCTATTCTATTCTATTGTTAATTACCCACACTGAGAAAAAAAGTACATCTGTAAATCAGGAGGGATATTGCTTCAGGACTGGGGTCTTACTTCTGCCAAGGTGGCAATCTGCTGTTGCTTCCTGTTTGCAGGTACAAATGCTCTGGAGACCAACCCAAGGGTAAGTCACTGCTGAAGAGCTGGTGTTGTACCCCATCCCCTGTTAGCAAAACCTTGCCACAAAAACCCCAATACACCCAGCAAGAAATCCACATTCTTCTTCTGGCAGGAATGTTATTGAGAGGTTGTGTCTGTCAGCCTCTCTTTAATTATGGAAATTCAATTTTTTATTTGTATGTTGACATGAAACCCACCACCAGTTCTGCTGGTGCAAATACCTGGCTCTTTCCATTGAGAAAAGGGGCACAAACTGGAACTGGTTCATGCTTTGGTTAGAGATAACCTGAGACATTTCAATAGGGTGATCACTTGGGAAGTTTGTGCTTGCCATTTCACATGTGGTGAGGATAGAAGCTTCTGCCTATGAGTGGCTGTAAATGGCCAAACCCCATTCAAAGGCCTTGTTGTTGTTGGACAACTTGACTGCGTCTTTTAGACAGCCGTTGGTGTTTGAGGTCAGTTATTTTTACTCTTCCATTTTGTTCTAGTTAATTATTTTGGTTTGCTCTCAGAACAATAGCTCCCACCATGCTGGAGTCATCACCCAGTGCAGTAGCTTTTTATACCTTCTCCTGTAGCAATCCATGCAGTGCCCAAGGGTCTCATCTCCTTAGTTCAGCTAAATATAGACTTTTCAAGCCCTTGTATAGACCTAATCCGTACCTTTCCTAAGCTTAACAAGCTGAATCCAGTGGCATAAGCAGCTGATGCAGCTTTATGGGTAGAGGAATCCTCTTCAGTCTCTCATGCTTGCTCTAATCTTCCAGGGTTTGTTTAAATTTTATACTGCTTAATCTGGTGTTTTACTGCCTGTACGTACTTGACTCTGAGGGCTGGATTGTTGTGATGATTTTTCCTGTCTGCAAACTTACTCTTCAGTTTTCCAGAGTCTGTTCAGGGAGACCCAAGCAGTTTGTATTTTTCAAGTAACTGTTTAATCAGAAAACCATCAACGAAAGCTGCAGTTGCTTTTGCACAACTTGAAACTAATGTTCTGTTTACCAGCCCGTTCACAAGCTGAACTCACACCAACAAGAGATTCCCTGGCTTTGGTTGCGAAGTTTCTCACAGCAATGAGAGATTCCCTGGCTTTGGTTGCAGAGCTTCTCTCACCCTGTGCTCTTTTGTTCAAAGGGAGTCAGGTCCCATATGGACACTGGTGGCTGCAACAGGAGGAAAATACCACTGTTTCTGGCAGAATCTTACTTTGGCAGAACCTTTGCAACAGATACAAAAAAAGGTTTGTTTCTGTATCTTAGCTAGTTTGTCTGTTTCCAGCTTGGTTGCAGACTCAGTGTGGGGTTTGTGGATGCTCTTTTCTACAAGTGAGTAGGTCTGTAGTCTGTAACCATGGTGCATAGTTACACACCGCCCTGTGCCTTGGATTCAAAGGTGGTTTCAAACCCACCTTTGTAAGCAGAGAGGGCCAGCGTGTATTTAACTGTTGCTCCTCCAGCCCCAAGCGTGCAGATGTTTGCAGGTGCCCTCATGTGCACCCTGTGCATGCACACACCTGCACACCCCTGCCCAAACAGCTCTGAGCTCCATGGAGGAAGGTGAATGGTTAACAACAGCAGGGATTTGCAAAGCTTAAAAAACATGGAAGAGGTGTGCATGTGTGATCATACGTGGTCCTTCCTTTATCCGTGCACCTTCCTGTCTGCCAGCAGCCAGAAGTTTAGGGCCTTCCTGCTTCTAAACCATCACATTTAGTCACTACTGTGGTATCCAACCTACATTCATTTCTCTGTTTTTTTAAACTCGTTTGTGGGTTTGGACATTGTGGAATTGTCCTGAAGAGCCTGAACACAATGAGAATGGTTTGAGAGATTCTGTAAGTCACTTGACAGAACTGACTCACCCTTTTGCCTTGCCTGTGGCAGAGGAGCAAAACTCCTCTCCTTTGTGTCCTCTGGGTCAGAATGAGCAGCTAAAACCTGAATTGATCTTCCTGCATTGATGGGGACTTTGCACTGTCAGCGGGGCGTGCGGAGGCTGAGTGCTGCCACACGCATGGAGATGGCACCATGACATGAGCCCAAACCCTCTGGCAGAAGAGAAAGTGTTGGGGTTTCCTGCTAACTGAAGAGCATGGAGAAGAAATTTCAGGTTCTGATGCAGACAAAACCTATGAGTGCTCTTATAATGGTGTGACCTACCCTTGTTTGAGTGGGTGGTGAAAGGGAGGCCACCTTTGTTGGCCTCTTGTGGACGCTGTTTGCTCTTCCTCCATGGGAAGGAATTGTGCCATTCTGGAGTTTGATTATTTGGCTGGCTGCTGGGTGCTTTGACTGTGCCACAGTCTCTTATCTGAGGTATTTCATACCTGTGCAGTTGGGTTTTGTGCTTCTCCAGTGCTGTGCTCTGCCCTTGGACTGCCCTGCAGTGCCCACAGGCTGCGCTGCGTTTTTGCGTGTGTTGTGCCATCCAAAATAATCTCGGTGGGTGTTCTAAGCAGCTGCCATGATACAACTCATCTTCTTGGCAGCTGGAAGTGCTGTGAGCTATGTGTCCTCTTTTCCTCCTCATCTTTATATGTTGTAATAGAAGTGAAACCTACAGAAGTCTTGTACATGGTATATCTCACCAAGATTACTTGGGTATGTTGCAGCTGTTCATACACGCTCGGTAAATATGTGTTTTGCTAATCAGGTTTATGCAGGATGGTGCTTGGAGAACTCTAGGAAGATACAAAATGGTGTCCCTGGGGGAAAAAAAAATAATAAAATTGTGACTCTCTGCCACATTTTAATGGAGGTCCACAGTGAGCTGGGAGTGGGCTTCTGAATGCCAACTTCTTTAGCACCACTTCAGGAATGCAGGTTGCACAAAACCCAGTCTGACTGTACTAGTGTAGAAAGCACTGAAGTTTTGCTTTGATGTGGCTGTGAGCAGTCAGGGTAGCTGCACTGTACTTGCACAGCCTGTTGGCCGTTGGTTTGGTCATGATTAATTGCTTGCATGTTTGGAGATGGACTTAAGCTAATGTCATTCTTGCCTTCATATATTCCAGCTGTGTGGGTGTTGAAGAAGAAGAGGCACCAGATATAGACATCTATCATTGTCCAAATTGTGAGAAAACCCATGGAAAGTCTACTTGTAAGTATGCTTGCACAGTTGGTCCTCAGCAACCTACCAGATGCTGCATGTTTGAACAAAAGAAGCTGCTATTTAATTTTTTTTTCTTTCTCAGTACAAAAAGACTCACCTAAATATCACAAGTCATAAATATTAGAATTCAAACCATGAGGTGAAAAAATATATTAGGGGGAGAAATCCATGGTTTGGCTTGTGGAGCTTTGGATGGAGCTTCTGGCCCCAGAGCTGCTGCAAGGTGACTCATGTCACCTGTCCCCAGTCCCATCGATGAAAATGAACCTTCCTTCATCACACAGAATGAAGAGCTACAGAGGCACTTATTACCATGGGCTAGAAATACCCTACAGAGACAGCTATTTCCTACAGCAAACTCTGGAAACTACATGGTGTTTTCTGTCTTTGGATGAGAAGAGTAAGAAACAATATGTTATGCTTGACCTGAATATAAAACTGTAGCAATTTCAGTGGCAGTCAAAACTGGAGGATGCACTGAGGGTGCCAATTCTTGCAGTTCTTTCACAGAAAAAGTTCTCCTGAGTAAAATTGATCTCAGTGGGAGTTTTGTATGGGAGAGAAAGGATGTGTTTGCTTTGGTCAGATTAATTCACAAATTCTTTCTATTATACAATGGAAAAATAAACAGAAAGAAAACCAGTCCCTGTAAAACAGTAAATGCTTTACTTGAAAGCCAGTTACTGTACATAGGCAAGAAGGATGCAGAAGTTCTCACTGCTTTGCAGCCTTACAGCAACACACAGAGGAAGAGCACTGTGCTCATCTCCCAGGAGCCAAAGAAATCATAATGTTCCTTTTTTAGTGCAAAATAAGGGGTGGCTGGAGACTGATTTCTGCTGTGTTAGAATTCAGTAATTCTGAAAACAAGCAATTATTTCTGCATTGTCTTAAAAGTCAGAGCTTAAAAACATCTGAGGAGGAAAGGGGAGGAGCCTGAAATGTTAATTTGGGGGGCAAAAATGGGAATTTTTCCACTTTGACTTTTACAAAATGGGGTGTGAACTGTAGGCCAGAATGACCTGCAGCATCTCCGAGATGATCTGCTGACAACTCTGGTCCAAGCAGGGCACCAACCAACTGGGCAAGCTGGTAAAAACCACCTTGGGAGGTGTGTTCTGAAGGACTTAACAAAATCAGTATGTCCTCACCAAATGTTTTTATTTAAAAGAGTCAGCCTTCTAATGTTTTGTTGGAAGATTTCTGACAAAGGCACTGGGAATCAGTCAAACAAATAACCACAAATCATCATCAAGTGAACAATTTTGTGTTAGAATGGGTTGTGTTGAAAAGGGGCTACAACTGCTGATACTCCCAGGCTGCTGTTGACCCAGTATAGAAGCAGCCACACAGGATTTCTAGTCTCTGAGTTCTGTCTAACATTGAGATGTGTCTGCTGCTTTGATTCCGTCCACTTTGCTTTGTATTATGAATGATGAAAGGCACCTACTTTTCAGCGCAAGGGGAAGAAGTCAGACAGAAGCTGCAAAAATCCATAATGGGGAATGAAATATCAATTCTATTAAAACTGTGGTGCATAATCTTAGAATTCAATAGTAGTTTGATAAGAAGATTACAAGTTTACTACACTAGTTAACATGAGGAGAGTTAAATGAACAACAATCTTCTGATGCTTTAAGAAGGTTTGGGCCATTCCATTTTTTAAATCCAAATAAAAATCCAACTTGGCAGTAGAACCCTCAGTCTGCACTGCTGGAAGTGCTGCTTGGATGCTGTTGCCAGGTGAGTTCTTACCAAGGTATGAGGTTATCAGTGTGGTAGGAACACAGAACATTATATCATCCTGCAGTTATGAATTGATTTCTCCCTTCAAATGCGTTGCAGAAAGCTTAATGATGTACAACAGCAATCATCAAAGTAGCTGAGTGTAAAAATTTCGTAAGCATTTAAACATTAGCTATTGATAAACTTACCCTGAGTTCTGGTGAAGTGCAAGATCAAAAGTTCTCAAGCTGCAGAGCCGTTTTCTCCATAAAATTGTAGAACTAAGGATGCTGTTGAAAAATGAGGCTGTTGCCCTGTAGCCTCTCCTTGCAGAGTGCAACTGGCCAGGGAAGTTAAAGGAGTAATTAAATGAGAGCAGGAGCACCTTGGCTTAATGCATTTGCATGCAGGGTGTCCTGCAGCACAGCCCGTGGGCTCCGCTGGGGCTGCTCTGAGCTGATCCCTTCCATTTGTTTATAGCTGCTAAAATCTATGTTTAAATGAGTTATCTTGCCAGATCAATTTTGTAATAAACAAGGAAGTGTTGTTCCAGAGCCAGTAGTTCACTGGTAGGATTTAATTATGGCAAGATTAGCAAAGGGAAACACAGACACCAATTGTCTGTTATGCAACTCGTCTGGATTTAAAAATATATGTGTATTTCTGGAGCACGCATTCCACAATATATGTTTTCCAGATGTCAAATTTAAAAATCATTTTCCTCTGCTTACATTTCTTCACTTTTTTTTTCCTTTCCACTCCAATGTGGCTTAGTGGCTACTATTTCAGAAGATTGCTTCCTGTCATATGACATTTTAAGCCATTTTGGTTTAATGAAATTTGTAGGGACTCCTATTTGGGAAAAATTAGACACATTCACACGGAATTTTCTGACATAATCTAAATAAAATGTAAATGCTTTGTTTATGCTGATGACTCATTTTCATAATGTGATCTGAAATGGTTGCTTTGATTGCTGTCTCATTTGTGACACTGAAAATCAGGAGTTACATATATGCAAGCAAACCAAAGTCAGGCTGAAACTGCTATTAAAAGGTTACATCCTTTAATATAAATACAGAACTAACAGGGTGCATTTAGGTATCCCTTCTTCAGAAATACATTTGAATTAATGTAAGTGTACCTTTGAAGTCTAGAATTATTCATTTTGAGATACAGTTTTCATAAAAACACATTCCCTTATTCCTCTGGAGGGTTTTCTGTGGAAAGAGCAGGTTCTACTTGCCAATGGTCAAATTTGGATCAGTTCTGCAGAAAAAGAGATCTGCAATGATTTGAGAAAAAGTGGCCTTTCTGGCCAGTGCTTAGATTTGTTGCACATGTTAATAGGCCTTTAATCTTTACTGTGGTGTTCATGGTAAAGATGAAACATAAAGAGCATGGCTGAAAATGGGCCAAATGTCGGTTCTTTGACAGTATAATGGACTGCAGCAGCTGGGTTGCTGCCATCCAAGAGGCTGCATCTCCTGGAGAGCATGCTGGTGGGGCAGGCAGCTTTTTTTTTTTCTTTTCTTGAGAGATGGATGGAAAGGTGGATGGAGAGGTGAATGGAGAGGTGGATGCTTGTTGGTGCTCATTGCTGAGGGAAATAGCTCCCTGGTGCTTTTTGAAGAAGCACAGTGGATTTCTGAATTCCACACTGATTTGCAGCTTTTGTTTCTCAGTGCTTCATGCTACCCAAAGTGTAATAAAAGAACACACTAATGTGATAAGCTCTTTAATTTTCACTGTGGCAAGTGACACTGCTTCGCTGGGACCTGTGTGAAGAGTCCCAGTGTTGGTTTGGGTATAACTGAGAGGGGGAGGAGGCAGCCATTGGAAAGGGAAGGAGGGGAGGAAGATTTGGCATTCATGTAGGGCTTGTTTCCTTTGTTACCAGGAGCACTGAATTAATACACTAAGCCGGAGAGTCATTAAGATAAAGAACTAGCAGCTTTAATGAATATATCCAGCTAGGCTGGAGAGCTGCATGGAACTAATAAAACCAACATGCTTTGTGCAAAACCTGGGGTGGATTCATTGGGAGATACCTTTACTTGAGTTATTTCAGAGTTGTGGTCAGGAAAACAAATTTAGCTTTTTCTGAAGCTCATGCCTTATAGCTCTAGTCTCCAAATTCCTTTCTTAATGAAAAGGTATGTGGATCTGTGTGTGTGTGCATGTGCAAAGAGCAAGGAAAATGCTGTTCATGCATGGTTGCTGTGGAACCTGAGCTCTTTTGAACAGTAAGAAAAGCCTGAAATCTTCATTTTGGGATAAAATATTGAGTTTCATGATATAAAACAAGAATGAAAAATACAAGAAAGATGTGACGTGAAAATTCTAAGAGAGGTTTGAAATGGTAGGAGTGTCCACTTGGGACCAAAACAATTTACTACCCAAATGAGCGTGTCCAGACAGACCTTGGTAATAGGAACAGCTGAGAGAGATTGTGCTGACTAAGAGAAAAAGCTGGACTAGTTTTCTTGCTTTGCCTTATCTGGCTGTCAACAAGGCAAGGCAGAACTACACTGACATTTTATTTACTGATTTGTGCTTATTCCAGCTGACCCTTTTTCCATGATGAGCTTGCCTATGTGTCTGTCACCCTTTGGGAGCACAGTCAAGGGGCCTTCAGTTGATTGTCATCAACTTCAGGCCTAAGCCTGGCTTGCTTTTCAAAATCCAGGAATAAGAGGAGCTCTAAAAATTACATTTGTGCACTTGCATCTTTTTCCTTTCCTTTTTATGTGCATGCTGTGTGCAGGCCATCATTCAAAGTCCATCGAAATGAATGTAAAATCTACCACTGTTGGACAAACCTTTAGACGAAGGGAACTCATGACAAATAAATTCATAAAGACCTAATCTGCATATCTAAAAGGCAAAAAAGTGGCTTTCTATGAGTTTTATGATAAGGATTAAGTGTGTATTCTGGCAAGTACAAAGCATCCAGAGCCTGCATTTGCATAAAGCCTGCAGTAGCTGTGCAGCTCAGTAATTATCCGTCTGGTTGCCCTTATGTTACAAAACGAACAGTGTTCAGTATGTAATAGATCTTCAGGCTACAGTGTAATTGTCTGATGGTGAGCTGAGAGCAGTATTACAATTTGCAGTGCAGCATAGTGGGGGTTCCCCATTCTCTGCTCACTTAAGAAATGAAATTAAGATTTGTCCTTCCTTCAAATGTCTTAATAATTATCTTCTACTTAACATACAATCCAATTTCTTCCTTTTCAGTGAAAAAGAAAAGAAATTGGCATAAACATGATACTGGACAGACGACAGAGGTGAAGCCCGTACAGAATGGGAGCCAGGTCTTTATAAAGGAACTTCGAAGTCGTACTTTTCCGAGGTGGGTTGTTCAGCTGCACGTGTGGACAGGGCTCTGGTGGCAAAGCAGATGTACATCTGGCCTCCTCTGTACAGCTCCTCCTGAAGCTGCTGCTGATCCCTGCTGAAAGCATTCTATAGTACAGACCAGTGGAGTTTAAATGAGTGCTTTTTTACTGCACATGTGCCAGGCTCTTCCCTTTTTAGTATTTGTGCATCTATATTAAAATCTAGTCTTGAGTGAGCAGATCAAGATCAATCCTGTAGATTTCCTAGAAGCCAGTGTTTATGAAGACAAAAGCATGTTTGGCTCTGGCAACATTCATTTGCACAAGAAACTAACAAATTTATTGGATAGAATTATCCAGTTCTCCAAAATACTAATAGTTTTGCTGAAGTCTGTCTCCATCTTGTAAAGAAGAACAATGACATCCTCAGGTGCTACAGTGACAAAGGCTCTCTTATTTAGGGTAATGAATAGTGCTAATTGTTAGGTGACATGTTCCACACGTTATTAGGCTGCTTCACAGCCATGTTTAAGAGTAATATTCTTCTTCTGGTTCTTTAAGGTGGGCCTTATCCAAATAAATCCTTAATTATTAATGACTAACTATTTTAGAAGAATCCTTGGAGACTGGTAAAATGTACTTGGTAAACACAAAACTTCTTCCTTTTTATGGAGAATTTAATTTCGCAATTAATTTCAGATACTGGTCTTAAACAGGTGAAGGAAAAGGCTGCAAATACCTCTGGAAGTATCTGCAGCACTGAAAGATGCGTTTCACTGAACTTGGGGCCCAGTGTTTTTACTTGGCTGTTTTTATTTTGTCCTGTTGGATTGGTTTTGTGTGTGTGTGTGTACTGAGCAATTTGACAGGTTGCAAAGCTAACTTTTAAAAAAGGGACTAAGGCCTGGGCCAAGTGATTTCAGTAACCTCAGATGGCCTGTGAGATTGCACTCATGGGCGCAACATCTCAGCATCACTCCCAAATGGTAAAATCCTTCTGTCAAATTAGGGCTTCTAAGACGGAAGGGTCTGTACCCTGCAGGATTCAGGCCCTTGACATCTACACTGGCATCATCAGTGAAACCGAGTCTTTGTTGAGAAATTTTCTCCTCTGAAGAAAGTGGATGAAATCTTCAGATGTTTCTGGAACAAAACCCAACATATGTCAGTCAGAGTGTGATGAGGGAAAAATGGGGTCTCAGTTTAAGCAGAAGCATTGTTGCTGATTCACAGCCACGACACTAAATGACAGGCCCTGGATTAGTCCCTTGGCGAGGCTCCAATCAAAAGGAACAGTGAAGAGAGTAAAAAGGCAAAAAAAATAAATCATGTCATTCTGCCCCTGAATGTTTAATATCAAAGTAGCATCCGAGTTGTAATAATATTAGTAATAATAATTAAATTGACAGTTCGGGTACTTCAGTGTAGGTGCCAGACTCTCCATTTTGGCATGATCATGACTAGGTGCTCTGGTGCAGATCTCTCTTTACGACTGTGTGAAAGTTTCTGTGACACAATAAAAGCAAATCAGACTTGAACAAGCATGTGAGATGCAGATGAGCACCATGAAGTAAGTAATTGCAGAGGTTTAGTGGTAAATCATGGTTTGCTTCTTGCTCCTTAAAATCTCAGTGTTCCTTGCACTTGGCTGGTGTGTGGTACCAGTGCTCGCATAAACGAGGAGTACTCCTTTAAAATCATTATTAATTAAATTTACGTCCTGATCAGTAATTGCTGATGCACCCTGCCAGGGGTGACCCAGAAGTAAGCAGGTTTCTACAGCTTAACCCTCTTCATCTTGTTCTCCATGGGGTTACAGTATCACAGGATCACCCTGGTTGGAAAAGACCTTCAAGACCCTAACTCTGCCATGTCCACCACTAAACCCTGTCCCCTGGCACCACATCTGTCTTTTAGATGTCTCCAGGGATGGTGGCTCAACCACTGTCTCGGACAGCCTGGGTCACCAAGTCCAGCTCCCGCCCCAGAACAGGACAACCCCAAAGTTCACACCATGTCCCTGAGGGCATTGTCCAAATGCTGCTTGAATATTGTCACCTCGGTGCCATTCCTGCTTCCTGGGGAGCCTCTTCCAGTGCTCCACCACCCTCTTCCTAATGTCCCTAAACCTCCCCCTGCACATCTTCCCCCCATTCCCTTGGGTCCTATCGATGGTCACCAGAGAGGAGAGGTCAGTGCCTCCTCCTCCTCCTTCCCTGCTGAGGAAGCAGGAGCTGCCATGAGGTCTCCCCTCAGTCTCCTCTTTGGGCTGAACAGACCAAGTGTCTTCAGCTGCTCCTCATATGGCATCCCCTCTAAACCCTTCACCAACCTCGTGGCCTCCTATGGACATATGAAGTGCCCCAAGAGGGGCTGTGTGAGAAGAAGCCACCACAGGCCTGTGGGTCAGTGTTCTCCTTCACATTCTGTAAAAGCTCTATTTTCTTCATGCTCATAAAAAGACAGGTTTGCAAGCCCTGCATCCCACAGATGTCCTGGTTGGTCTTATCACATCTGAAAGGGACCACAGCTGCTGTGCCAGCAGCTTTAAACCTGATGTCTCTTGTTTCATTTGGGTATCCCCTTCACTAGCAGAGACAGGGTGTGATGGAATAATGAGTCTTCTTGTTTGTGTTTCCAGAATTGGGACCAGCCTAGACTCATCCAGTGCTGAACTTCATCCAGCTCTGAGTGAGGAATTTCTTTCCTACTTGTTTGTTTTCTTTATGGCTCTGTGCTAGTCAAGGCAAGTCTCTCCTGTGCCCCAGAGAACTCCTGCCTCGGAGTTCCCTGGAGACACCTTTGCAACTCTTGCAGAGAAAACTGTGTACTGGTTTGGTTTGGGGGGTTTTGGTAGCAAAAGGGCCCCAGGGGTGGCTCCAGTAAGAAGCTGAGAAGCTTCTTCTGCTCCAAACCAGCTGAGGTGCCATTAGAGGGACAATAGATTCACCTCTGCCATTAGCAAAAGAACTGAGGTAAGAGCTGAGCAGAGGGAGCTCTGGCTGGGCTGGAGAGGCAGAGGTGCTGGTGGTTGGTGAGGAAGAAGGGGCAGAAGGTGCCCAAGCAGAAGTTTCCCTGCAGCCCATGGCGAGATGGCAGCTGTGCCCCTGCCCTCATGGAGGAACGTGGGGGAACATTCCCTGGTGGTGCCAGGAGGGGGGAACTTGGCCGGTGGACTTGGATGTTGTGGCCAGTGGGCTGGGCTGGTGCAGCTGTGGGAGCCCCCGGGCCAGGGGAGGTGCCTGTTCCCGAAGCCCCCGGGACT